TGGGGAGGACGGGGCTGGCTCTGCGGGCTCCTCGGGGTGGAAACTCTCCTGAAGCCCCTTGATTGACCCCCCGCCCCCGGGATGGCAGCCTGCGGCAAGTGCAGCCGGGCTGATGGCCGAGTGCTGTGATGTGCCCAGTGTGGGCACTCAGGGCACTCCAAGCCAGGACTGCTTTGCAAGCGAGGAACCCCTGAGAACTGTGTGTCCGGGGTGGAGGTCGGGTCCCTTTAAGCACAGCCCTCGGCTAGCCTGAGACAGCAGCTCCACGCTCTAAGTCCTAACCTGATGCCCTGCCAGCACTGCTTCCGGCCATCCTTAACCTCAGTTCAGGGTCCACTCAGTGTGGACATGCTAGTTTGAATTAGCAAAACGCTAATTCAAACTAGTTTTTAAGTCTAGATGCACTAATTCGAATTAGCTAAGTTAGCTAAGTTAGTTCGAATTAGTGCTGTATTGTAGACATACCCGAACTTCCTCTGAAGACTATGCTAGAGTTGCTTATATTGCTTTGAAAGTTACATTAGCTGTACAAACAGGTATCAAAAAGGAAGTAATGGCCACATCCCATCACAACTATCCAATGTGTGCATTTGGAAGGGATAAGTCAGTTTGGATCTCTGTGAACATTCAGAAATTATGCATGAAGGGATCTTAAATAGGTGATTATAAAAAATGAGCTCTCCAAAGATACTAGAGCTTTCTAAGTGAATGTATAAACATATTGGCCTAAGGACTATCATCTCTGTAAGGTCTGTTATCCAAAGATCTCACAACTGCACAGTGCACCAAGATGCACAGTGCACCCGTCACTCCATTGCTGAAATGCTCCTGCATCTCTGCATACAGCAAGCAGCAAAACTGCAGCAAAGGGCCAGATCCAATATTTACTACGGTGATGGGCACTATACAGATAGAAGCTCCAAGCACCTGTAAGTTACCCTGGAGAGGAAGATCAGGCGCATTGCTGCTCTGCACCTCTGCCTTTGCCTAGTGGGTGCAAAACATGAATCTGATCCAATAGTGTTTTAATTCCCTGGGGCACAAGTGCCTGCGCAGGGACAGGATAACAATGAATTAGATCTGTTGTGTTCAGAGAGAAAAGAAATACAAAGGGCCTTAGTAGGAAGCAATTCCTTTGAAACAAGCACGAATACACACAATTAGTGAAGTACATGCATTTCATGCTGATGTTTCATAAGGTGTTTTGCACAAAAATGCTTCCCATATCCACATGACCTTTCTGAATTGGAGCATGAGAAAAAGCATAAACGGCAAATTTTTAAGCAAGTGAAATCAGTACCTGAGAAAGCAAGGAACAGATTGTACTAATGGTCGGGGGGTATCAGGCACTATGAATAAATCCTCGCATTCAGTTCTTGTACCTACATGCAGCTTGATATTGACTTTCAGCAACCTAATGGCTAGCTCCTATTTAAGCTCCATTTCCCACAGTTATGTGTAAGAAGGCCCCACACCTATCCTACAGCCCCGTTGTTACAGCTTTGTGAACCCCAATCAGTTGTCCTTTCAATCCTGCCCTACAGACACTACCCTGGCTATTCTAGTGCACAATTCTGCCGATACATCGCTGTCTTAACCGATTTTCTCTTTAATCTTTTCCATCCTATTTGGAATAAATTTTGTTATGTGCACTGAGGCATGTATGAATTTGCACTACCAGAAGAAGCACATATCTAGCAGTGGGCGCTCTGCTAATCAATTGGGCCATACTGGAATCTCTTCTGAGTTGCTGCACAAGCACACAACTTACAAGGAACACTGTCTACCACATCCTCTGCTATTCTAGAAATTGCATATTGTTCCCAGTTCTGCAGTAGGTTCTATACAGTGCATTCATGCAGACTAAACTGAGAACCACTAAACTCATCTCACCAACAAGCAGAGATAAAATGTGAACTCCAGAGATATTCCTCCTTAAAAACAAAATATGAAAGAGAGAGGGCCGGGGGGCGGGGGAGGTTAGTCAGAAATGCCTGGACAAGGACACAAACAAGCTTCAACAAAGAGAGGAGCACGGGTAGGAGGAATGGCAAGAAAGTGAGTGGCACTGTACCTTTTCTGCTGCAGCATGTGGATTTCATCCAGACGACGAACCCAGGATTTTTTGCCCTGTAACTTGTGGCGGAGCCTGTTCCAGAGCTGGATAAAGGGTTTCCTATTCCCAGGCAGAGGCAATCCCATTGCTTGTTCCTTTCTCCTTCTTTTTTTCAGCTGGAGCAGCCTTCTATGCCAAAGCAGAAGCCAGCAGCCTTCACCCAAAGAGATTTAAGGCAGACTCACTGAATGGCCCTGGGCTGACCTCTTTTCACTGTTTATTCACTCTGCCCAGAGTGTCCTGTGCAAAGCTAGCTCAGATGCATTCTCTAGAAAGAAAAATGTAACCCCTCTGGATAGTAGGCTATCCTGGCTACCTCCCGCATCAGAATAAAACAAGACAAAAAGAGCAGCCAGTTGTTCTCCAAAATAACTCACCCCCAAAGTGTCTGATGGAGACAGACACTTGGGATCCTATGCTTCAGGTGCTCTGACCCTGCACAGTTGCTGAACAATAGCTAAGTCTTCAACTCCTACTATGTCTTTTTCATTTCTAAGACCTAAGATTTAGAGATGTTTCCTCCTTATCCACCCCGGCCACCTATGGTGAGGTGCATCTGAGCAGTGAAACCTGGGAATAGACAGAGAGCTACGCAGATCAGGCAGAGAAGCACCTAGCTCTGTGAGCATGTGAGAGTGTGTCCTGAAAGATACTAGCTGCCAGGAAGGCAATGCAAAGTAAGCCACACCTCCCAACTCTCCTCTCTGCAAATCACATCAGAGACATAGCTTGTGTTTAAGGAGCTGGCCTGCCTCATCCCAAGTCCCCACCTCTCCCTCTCTCTCTCTCTCTCTCAGACGCGCGCGCGCGCACAGACACACACAAAAACACACAAACACAATCATGTCAATCTCCAAATCTTTTAAGAGGTGAGAGAAGAGTTTAAAGATATTTGTACGGAAAGACTTGAGCCTCTGGACTTTCCCTCTTCCTTTTCCTCTTCTTTTCATTTCTGCATTCTCTCTTAGTTCCTCTCTCTGCCTTGTTTTGTCAATAAAATGTATTTAGAAGGGGAGTGAAATTACCAGTTGGAAAGAAACACGAAGGGACTGTTTAAGCTTGGGATATTGATAAGCAGAAGCCACGCTGGGTGAGTACGGATTATTACCTGAGAGTAAAGAAACTATGGGTCAAACCCTGATCCATAAAGACAATGGGAGTTTTGCCATTTTTTTTTCAGTAGAAGCAGGACTGGGCCCTTTGTTTTTACTTGGGCTATATTCCCATTCAAGTCAGTGGGGATTTTGTCTGAGAAAAGTTTGAAGGACTTGGCATTGAACATTAATCAGAACCATCAGAAGCAGAAATCTAAAATCTAAAGAGGGAGGCTGTGGGGAAGAAAGTGAATGAATCACCAAAATAACCCAAGGAAGGAGGAACAGGGATTCATCTGCAGGAGCTGATGCAGGTGACCTAACATGTCTTTCTGATCTCTTAACTCCTAGGATTCGCTGAATCTTGCAGTCTAACTGACCTAGAAAGGTATGTCTACACTGTACCGTTATTTTGAGATAACTAGTGTTATTTCGAAATAACAATGTGAACATCTACACAGCCATTCCATTATATCAAAATAATTTTGAAGTAACAGATGGCTAATTCAGAAATCAGTAAACCTCATTCTACGAGGAATAACGCCTATTCCAAAATAGCTGTTTTGAAATAAGGGTTGTGTAGATGCTCCACTGCTGCTATTTCGAAATAGCCCCTCACCAAGGCCATTCTAACTTATTCTCCCCCGGTGTCTCCTGGGGCTCTAAATCAAGATAGCACATCTACCTTAGGGAAGCCTGCCTCAGACTAATTTTGAGGCTTCTCTGCAGTGTAGATGTGCTATTTTGGAATAAGCTATTTAGGAATAACTATTCTGGAATAGCTTATTCCAAAATAACTGCGAAGCATAAACTCATCACTGATGAAACTGCATATGACATAAGAATTGGTGAAGTGTTAAATATTGAGAAGTCCTTGACACAGAGAAATCTGGATTGCTTGATAAACTAGTGACTATCAGACAATATGGCTGTGTCTACATTGGCACCCCTTTCCAGAAAAGGGATGCTAATGAGACACTTCGGAATTGCAAATGCCGCGGGGGATTTAAATATCCCCCGCAGCATTTGCATGAACATGGCTGCCGCTTTTTTCCGGCTCGGGGTTTTGCAGGAGAAAAGCTCCAGTCTAGACGGGATCTTGCGGAAAATAAGCCCTTTTCTGGAAGATCCCTTATTCCTACTTGAAAGTAGGACATTGGACTAGATGATCACAATGATCCCTTCTGGTCTTGGAATTTACTAATCTCTGAATTTTGGGGGGGAGGGAGCATTCATTACTCACTGCAGTGAGGGCTCAGAGATTAATGCTGGCCTGGAGAGAGCTGGAGGTGGGAGACTGTAGCCTTTGGATAATTAAATCAAAGTGCACACCCCTCCTGCTTTTCCTGAAAAGTGGGAGAGGTAGGTGAACCAGGACTGAAATTAGATAGGGTTCTTAGATATCAATATGAGAGGTACCTTATAAATATCTAAGATAGATAGATAGATAAGTCCCCATTTTGTTGAGTTGCTCTCTCCACCCCCTCTGTTGGGTTTACTGGCTCTTGTTGCATAGCTGGCATTCTCTCTGTGGGGTGAGGGAGGGCTGTCATACCTGCAAGCTAACAATCAGAAGGACTCTAGTGTGTAAATGTTACACCTCCAATTTAAATAGTTAAACCCCATGATGACTGTACAGCCACCACAAGCCAGAAATGGGAAAGGACCCTTTCTCTGTCTCTGTCTGTCTCTCTCTCTCTGTCTCTTTCTCTCTGGGTGTCCCTTTTGAGCAAAGGAGGGAAAAGATATGTAATTGTATAAGCAGTGCCGTCGTGCTGCCCAAGGTCATAGTGAAGGGCGGGCAGTGGAGTGTGATGATGTGGTTTCTTCAAAAGGTGATGTGGCTAGGTAACAGATAGCAGTATACATTCCTTCCCAATGCTGTTCCACACAGCTCAAAGTGAGTCCACAATGCAGTGAGTCCACAATGCAGCTATGGATGAAAGCAGATAAAAACATATATAGCAGTGGTCCCCAATGAGGTGCCCGCTGGGCCATTTCTGTGCACCCACCAAGTGCACAGCCCCACCCCCGGGCACGTGGCGCATGGGCAGTTCCGGCCCCTGGGTGCGCAGCGTATGGGCAGCCCCGCCCCCGGGTGCACGGCGCAAGGGCTGTGCCAGCCCCAGGCACGCAGCGTATAGGTGGTGCCGGCCCCTGGGCACGCAGCAGAGGCGTGGCGCTGGCCCTGGGCACATAGCAGATGGGCAGCCCCATCCCTGGGCGCACGGCGCATGGGCTGTGCCGGCCCCGGGCACACGGCGCATGCACGGCTCCATCCCTGGGCACACGGCGCATGCACGGCTCCATCCCTGGGCACACGGCGCATGCACGGCTCCATCCCTGGGCACACGGCGCATGCACGGCTCCATCCCTGGGCACACGGCGCATGCACGGCTCCATCCCTGGTCGGCCCTGGGCGCATGGCGTATGAGTAGCCCCATCCCTGGGTGTACGGCACAGGAGCGGCGCCGGCCCCGGGAGTGCGGCGCATGGGTGGTGCTGGCACTGGGTACGCGGCGTATGGGTGGTGCTGGCACCGGGCACGCGGCGTATGGGTGTCCCCGCCCCTGGGTGCCCGGCAGCCCCAAAAGATTGGGGACCACTGATATATAACATTTTCAGACTAGAAACACTTACTAGCTCAGTCATTCTCTCTCTCTCGCTCTCTCTCTCTCTGGGTATGTCTACACTACCCCGCTAGTTCGAACTAGCGGGGTAATGTATGCATACCGCACTTGCTAATGAAGCCCGGGATTTGAATTTCCCGGGCTTCATTAGCATAAGCGGGGAGCCGACATTTTTAAATCCCCGCTGCTTCGAACCCCGTGTAGCGCGGCTACACGGGGGCCTGCCCTCCATGATGCCTCTGAAGCCCTGGTGTCTTCAGATGATGCCTTCAGTGGTGCAGGTGCAAGCCAATTACCTTCAATGGATTTGCAAAAATGTAGCTGATTGGAACTCAATAAATCATTCTATTGTTGATGCACAAGAAGGAAAATAATTCAGCTCTCTCTAAGCTGTGGAGGGCAAAGAGGAGCAAAATGGAACAAAAATGTATTCTTATTCAAAAACTATTAGATATTACTCTGAAAACACACACACACACACACACACACACACACACACACACACGGAGCTGATTATTCAGCTCCAAACACACTTGAGCTAAATAAGAATTCCAACAATAATTGTAGATCTCTTATCCCTTTTTTTGTGCCTCAGCCATTGGAGGGCATTGTGAGATGCAACAGCCAGACATTGCAAGAGGGCATTTTTATTAATTACAGCAGTGGATGTGGTAAAGGCGAATTAGCAGCATGGACAATAGATGGAAGCTGGCCACACCATGCAAGAACATTGTAGAGGCCAACGCTGGTTGCCAGACAAAAAGTTGTGAAGGCCTTTATGGGTGAAGATAGGCTGCAGAGCAAATATAACAGTGATGTCCTGGCAAGGTGGCACACAACACAATGCCCTGAGCAAGTTGTAATGACAAGAGTGGATGGTGATTGTGTGCTGGCACACATTCAGATCCTCTGTCATTTGTGGGCGGCACAATCAGTGTTGTGTACAGCAAACCCAGAACAATCCTGGCCTTGTAAGCAAGTGGACCAGCACAGGTAAGTCCGTAGAGATGGTACTGTTTTGTCGAGAAGCAAATGAAAAACAGAGATACTTGCAACAAGGCCAGAGAATGGTCCTTTGCTCACGTCTGCTACAAGTTAAGAGGAACTGTAAAATCCCACTGACCACTGAGAACATGCTGTTTAGTAAAGGGCTGTGTCTACACTGGCCACATATTCCGGAAAATCAGCTGCTTTTCTGGAATAACTTGCCAGCTGTCTACACTGGCCCCTTGAATTTCCGCAAAAGCACTGACGATCTACTGTAAAATTGTCAGTGTTTTTCTGGAAAAACTATGCTGCTCCCGTTCGGGCAAAAGTCCTTTTCTGGAAAACTGTTCCAGAAAAGGGCCAGTGTAGACAGCACAGTAGTGTTTTCCGCAAAAAAGCCCTGATCGCGAAAATGACGATCGGGGCTTTTTTGCGGAAAAGGGCGTCTACATTGGCACGGACGCTTTTCCGGAAAAAGTGCTTTTCCAGAAAAGCATCCTGCCAATGTAGACGCGCTTTTTCCGGAAATACTTATAACGGAAAACTGTTCCATTTTAAGCATTTCCGGAAAAGGGTGCCAGTGTAGACGTAGCCATGTTGTCTTGCCATGGTTACAACAGTCCTTCTGCAGTCTTCTACACAGGGTGTGCATCTGTCACCACCACCAATTGCAGCCTATTCATAAGTCATATGGAGCACTAACTGAGCAGCTATTCCCATTCTTGTTTTCGTGCATCCAGTCTTGCTATGTGTGGAGTTGCACTATAGGAGCTAATCAATCCCACTGTTTTCCATTCCAGTGAGAGGAAACGCAGCTTTACATCAGTGGACTGGGAGTCAAAAGTTTTACTTTTTACTATTAACTGTGACACTGACTCACGGAAGACCTTGCACAAGTCATTTCCCTTTGCTGTGCCTTAGTTTTCTCAGCAGTAAAATATTTCCCTTAATCTCAGGGGTATTGAGAGGCTAATTATTGGGCTCAAAGGGCCTATTCTATACCCAAGTTAGAATACTCTACAGCCAACCTGAGTGCCAGGTACTATCCTAGAGCAAATTGGACCCTTGTCTCTTAAAATCGATTTCAGTGTTGTCATAAGACAACATCAGGATCATGTCTGCTTGCAGCATGATAGAGGAATACTAGAGCCTGTGCCACTGGATATTGACCACCGATAGGAACTGAGGCCAATGGAGGAGGCAGTTTTATTGTCTTGACTGTAATAAAAATATCATTGATGCCAGCATATGCAAATTAAATTAACATGAGTCATTCACTATAGGGTATGGATTCCTTTTGTCACTAAATGCCTCTGACCCCTGCTTTCCTTCTTCTCACAAAATTCCTGTTGACTTCAGTGGGATTTTTGAGTGCCCAAGGAATGCAGGATTGGTTCCAAGCCAGAATGAGAGCTCTCTTTCTCTCTTTCTCCTTTCACTCACTGTCCATACATCTCCCTAGGAGTATGGAAGAAATGCAAGAGGGAAGAGATGTTTCAAATATTACTCCAAAGAGGAAAGGGTTTATTTTCCTACAAGAATCTGCAATGTGACGAGCAGCTAATGGGCATGATGGAGGATATTACTAGAGCAGGCCAGTACGCAGGGCAGGTGTGAACACTCCCCTCCATGCTCCTCTGAGTAAGCATGAGCATGGGTACTGTGTTGCCCCAGCCTCCCTTTCCCAGTGCTCCAGCTGGCCGGGAGAAGGCAGAAGCAGCACATTGCCCCAGTCTCCCACCCCCATGCTCTGGCCAGACGGCTGAGGGAA